AGGTTCCCTTACATACATTGCTTGCGGTGTCCACAGAAGTGTTGCCTCTGCAGCTTTCCATGCTGGTTGTCATGATGCTGCTGCTGTTGATGATAATCATGAAGGTAAGGGTTGCCAGGTCTAGAAGAACTGACGTCAGAGGGGCTTCTGGATCTTCTGTGGACAATGTGCTCTGCTGAGCGCTTGTACAGTACATGCGGGTGATGACCATTGGGGGCACTGTAGTTGTGTTGTCTGGCCAGATGTTGGGGTAGAGGGGCGATCAAATACTCCTCCTGAGACACACGGATCAACCCTGACTGCAATCACAATAAGTAGAAAGGGTTACAAGAAAATTATTCTAGATAAACTATATAATAAGAGTTAAGACAAAACAGATTTGACAGATTTGAACTGCATTTTACAAAGTGTACACACAAATCACCTCTACAATGGTATTTGAGTCCACACTGCCAAGCTTTGTCAAAGCCTCAGTGTAGCTAAAGCAGCTGTTTCCAGAAATCCTTTCTACTGTATCACACATATCACCTCAAGATCCACCCACCACAACCTCACTCATTCTTCGAACCCAAACGCTATCCTAACATTAGGCAGATGTGCACTCTAAGAGTTTACAGATGTTAAGGAGAGAAAAGGTCTTATTTAATTGGAAGACAGAACACCGTGAAATTACTGGTGGGGAGATTTTTAAGAGCTGGGATTTGTTTTTAATTGATTTCAACAAAATCTAAACTGTGTGCGCAACTAAAATGAGATCACTCGTGGTTAGAGCCTTACTTCAAAATATAATTTACTGAAAACAGACTACACTGCAGCACTTCTTGCTGACATTGTCACATCACTGCCAGCATTTGATTTCTTCCTGGGTTTGTTTTTGATATAGTATTTGTCCAGTGTACTGTGTGTTTTCTCAAAAGTTTATTGTTCATTCAATTCAAGTCTAACAGGAAATATTTTTGGAACTGATTAAGATAATGGAAGTCAAGTAAGAAAGAGAATAAATCCAAGAAAAAAAAGAGATCTTTTAGTGCTGGAAATGTTTATCATCTTGGCTTTTAAATGGTAAGTAAAGTGCCTTTTTCTTTACTCTCCTAACACATACTTCTCACATTTTACTTGCGACGTGGCGAACTAATGATTTATTTATGTCACCTCTACTTGAAATGAATATAAAAACACAGGCATGCTTTGAATGGCTGGAGAAAAACTCAAAATGTTAGGATGCTTGACAGGCTTTGTTTGCAGGGTTCGTCCCGAAACACATTATGAACCCAATCCAATTGTCCTGCCTGCCGTAATAATGTCAAAGCAGTGTTTTGGCGTGCCGTAACCGGCCTCAGAACGAGAGATAAAGCTACTGAACCTTAAACATTCCGTCTGACCACGGTATTCCACCTAATTCACTCTGCAACTCTACAAATGTACACAGAATAGCTGTGCAATCAATCAGGCGCACACTCACTGCAATACACTCGCTGACCCAGTGACCTATGGCCTTTTTGTGTGTCATCTAGCTCACCATCTGTGTGTGTGTGCGTGTGTGTGAGAGAGAGAGAGACAGAGAGAACTAGCGAGAGAGAGAGTGACAGTGCCCTGCTCCTGTTGAACTGACCCCATTCCGCCCAGACTAGCAGGTGGCAAAATAAACAGAGGCTGGACAAAAGGGAAGCCATGGTGAGGCTCTTGTTGTGAAAACAGTGCCTGGATATGTGGCAGACTGCCATCATCAAGCCCATCTATTCATCCATCAAACCATCCATCTCTATAACCATCCAGCTCCCAGTTGATCACCCAACTGTCCATAAATCTTCTACGTCTTCCATCAATCTTGGTGCAACGAGAAGTTTTACAGGAAGCTAACTGTCAAATGTTATTATCTTGACTATATGTAACGTCCACATGGTCCAGTGGCTGGGAGTTTTGTTCTGCAATCGCAATAGTTTGAAGCCCAGCATATCAACACATGCCAAAACAAACCTTATGCTAGCTACTCCACGACTACTTGCTCCAGCTGTGTTGCACTGCGAACACATTGTGGAAAGAAAAATTTCCCTCTGGGTCATGAATAAAATATATCAACTCAAAGAAATGAATTAAGAGAGAGAAAATGCCCTTGGCGAAAAATTGACTGTGGCTTCCTAAAATAGTTTGGAATTCAAAACAGAGCTAGAGAAGGTCAAAGGAGGTGTCTCCAATCAGCACACACCGCTGTCGCCTCTCGTTTACCCATCTTTTCATCTGCCTGGCATTCAGCACATACCTGGCCTGCAAAAACATACACCTAATCAAATATTCCTCTTTAAAGATGAAACATTTATTTATTATTTATCTTTTTTTCTCCTTCAATTAACTGATAACAGTTTAATCATGAGTAAGACATAATTTCACATTTTTTCCCCACTGAAGCAACGCATTCAGAATGCCATGATGTTACAGATGAAAGGTCTCTTTATAATAATGTAAAGCCCTTACCTTACAATGCAAAGCAATGCAAACAAATTCATGATGTAAAGTCACCATGAGATGACAAATAACTTTGTAACCATAAGAATCCTACATTAAAATTAAAGAAACACAAAGATCTGAACTTGATTAGTGCAAAACTCACATCCCTGCTTGTGCTCTGTTTCTCTCTCTCTATAGCTGCGTCACCAAATCTGCCAGCTCTCCACTTTCTTTTCCAGCAGATAGCAGATGGAAGAGTCTGTGATGATAATGACAGGAAACGAATTCCATCTGCAACAATGGTTAAAATATGGTTCTGTGTCTGCTTGTGTTTTTATGTCAATGTATAGATTGAACTTTCTTTTGTCAGCATGTTTTATGTTTTAGTGAATACCAAAGTATGACGTTATAGTAGACTCTTAATGTTGGACACAGCTGCCAACAACGCATACACAAAGGAGTATGTTGCAAGGCGTGAGCACTAAGTAAGCAGAGCATAAATAGGCTTTTCAAGCGCAATGACAAGGTGAGAGGTCAGAGAAGATTACTGCGTGTTTACACACTGAAGCTGAGTGTGCTTTAATATGGTGGGATCATGCTCAAAGCTCATTTGCTCACACTCAAATTCCCATTTTCCTCTGCTCACCCTGCTTTTCTGCTAGCTCTCAGGTTTTTATTGAAAAGAATGTCCGACGGTGCTTTGGACAAGTAAGGACTTTGTTTTGCTAAATTACGGATGTTTGGCTAAGTTCGTAATACTGGGGAGAGTCTACCTCCCCTGACACCCCACAAGCCTCTATTGGTGTAATAATGGATATATTAAAAAGCTGGATATAACACTGAAAGTCTGCTTTGTTGCCAAAATTTTCCCAGTTGTCTTTTGCTGCCCAAAGCTCTTCTGCAGCTGAAAAAGAATTTTCCCATAGACCACAATAAGAAAAGACACCTCCAACTGTAACACAGGCCATTTTTTTCTCCCTTTCTATTATGAATTTTTGATCCGTGGTGGTTTCATATTTGTAAAGCTTTGCCAACGCCTACAAAATTTTTGCTTGCTGTTCCTGACATCATCACAACATGCAAACTTTATGAGATTAGTTGAAATCTAAAAGCAGGCCAGTGAATGAGCAGTGGGCAGAATAACACTGGTCCATTTTCCAGGCTACCAAATTTCACTCAAATGAGCATTTTTCATCTTTTAATCCGTAAACAATTCTAGGTATATGCATCAAGCATGTTTTATTTACTTTTTCATGTAGTTGTAAGAGTGACTATTTCAAGAACGTAACCTTTGCAGCTGTCAAAAGGCCAAGTTAGACTAATCAGATTAAATAAAGATAAGCTTCCTGCCTTGTATGTAACATCAATCGATTAGTGTCAGATTTGAACCCTTCTGGATGTGTGAAAATGGCAACAGCTTAGTTGTCTAGGATTACACATACAGTCATAAAATCAGAGCGTGACGCTTTCAAATCTTACTCGCCACCCAAAGCACTTGTGCTATAGTTTCTTATTCAGTAAAGTGATAAAGCATGAAAAACATGCTATGAAAAACTAAATCTAACCTATGATTGATCTTGCATTATGTGACCCAGCTCTTCTAGTTCTTCAGGCACAATAAAGACTAAAAGTTGCACTACCTCAGCATCTGTTGACTTGACCACTCTGACATCTTTATTGTGTTTTTTTCCAAGGGAAACATAACATTACTCAAAATGCCAGTACCATTTGAGGAAAGCACACTACTCTTGTACTCATCTATAGATTTACAGATGAAATGATAGATAAGCTGATTCTTTTTCAGGCACAATCTTCAAAGACCACAGAAAGGCCACCTGTAAAGTTGATAGAGAAGACCTCTACTTATCTCTCTACATTGACACTTGTAAGACCTTACTAGATTAAAGGGATGAACACTCTCTGCTAAACACCACTTTAGTTTTCACCCCACATTCACACATTTCTCATAACGTCACAGTCAGATTACAGGTTCAACAAAGTCACCTTCAGTCAGCAAAGTCGCTATTTCGTACATGAGAAAAACGTCTTCGTTTCCTTGGATAAAGTCAGCACAAGCTCTGTTTCTTTAGCAGCACAACTGTCATGGTAGACGGCAACTTTAGCTTGTCTCTGTATAAACTGCAGCCTCTTTTAAAGTTCCCTACCATGATATTATAAGGCAAATGAGTAAGTGCTTACATGCTGTTTAAGACTTGGGACGAGCGGTGAGAAGCCCCAAGCCGGTGATTACTGAGCTCTAAAGCACATCTGCACTCCAGCTCAGCAAAGAATCACGTGAACACAGTGTGTGTGGCGAAGAGGGGGGGAAAAAAAATCACACAGGAGCAAAGGAGAGCCCTCAGGCATCTAACTAATTCAATAGAATCACAATCTGAGTAATTATAGTCTGCTTATGTGAATTATGTGTGTTTAAAATGGGGTAAGAAATGGGTAAAGAAGACATGTTAATTTCGGAACTGGGATCAAAAGAAGAAAAGAGCCAAGCAGCAATGACAGGGCAGGACATTGGTTGAATTTCTCTATGTTTACTTTCAAATGACTGTATTTCCCAGCACAGTGGAGTTTTCTTATTTAAAAAATTACTATCACTGAATTGGACCTGGACTATTTACAAACACTCTTATTAGTGATAGCATATATGGATAACTCTCTTCATGTACAGCTCATTAGAATCGCAATGTGTCAATAGCCTGAGGTCACGCAGCTTGTTTATCCACACTAATTGCCTTTGAACAACCTACTGACACCCTCTGAGCATGTCTACGGAACAGAGAAGAGGTGGGCACACACAGAGTGAGAAACTGATGGTGTTGGTTGAGTCTTTTGTCGGTTG